TATACAGACATTACATGTATTTGAAGATAAAACAATACACACAAAAGAAAAAAACCCAGTAAAGAACGAATAAATTAAGGTGAATTGAATTATTATTGGTCAAAGGGTTAAACTAAAAGCATAAAGATTATTTAGATTGTAGACTAACTTTTCTGCATGAGCCATGAGGGAGATTTAATATTCATTGTGGGCCATATTTCTTAAAGCAGTATGCTGAAATATTTCCGTTTTTCAGTGAATATTATGGAGAATTTGATTCTATCTCAGTCTATCTCACTAAAACAAGGCCTCTGGCCAGTAGGGTTATAGAGGCTGTGGATTGCATTTCTTCATTACAGTGAAATGCAGTACTGGTAGGACCACTCCATGCCTACATGTTTTGAAGAGTCATTAGTATGTTCCATTCTCGAAGGATATATTGGCAAAAATGTAATATAATATGTATAAATATGTTTTCATTAGTGTATAATCACTAATCAGTAATCAATTTGCTGTGTTCAGGATTACACATGTAGTTTGCTATAAGGTTCATAAAGTCATTAATACATTTTTTATTAATATTTGTACAATCTATGAAAAACGAGACCAATACAGCCATAGCAACTTTACATTCTAATGCTATGGCATATGACAATACATGGTAATGTCTAATTAGGTACAATTACTAGTTTGTTGTTTTAGCATGCTAACATGTGTTGATAAAGCTTAGGCTAATGGGAATGTCAGTAGTTGAACTATCATAGTGCCAGATGAAAAGTTAGGGGATCAAACCTAAATACATCCTGAGGAAAATAAGAATTATCTGAACAAAATGTCATGTAAATCCATCCAATAGTCTAGTTGTTGAGACATTTCACTCAAAACCTAAAATGTCAGCCTCAAAGTGATGCACTTACATGGAAAGTCAAGGGATCACTTGAGTAATTAGAATTCATCCTCTGGGAGCCATGAATGTTCCAAACTTTAGTGCTGATCCATCAAGTAGATGTTGAGATATTCCGTAGGATAAGTGAAAAATCTGAACCTGATGGTGGCGCTAGAGGAAAAGTCAGAGGTTCACCAAAGTCAGTAGGATTCATCCTCTGTGGACTCTAGTCTGTACAAACCTTCTTGGCAATCTATCCATTAGGTGTTGAGATATTTCACTCTGATCGACATTGCGCTCCCAGAGTGACGCTGCCAGCATTATGAGATATTGTGCTCAGTCTTGTCAAACAAAATACCTAAAGATCCCCTCCAGTCATGGATTAAGACACATAAAAATAGTCTGCTTGGACCAATAATGTTTCTTTTTCCTCAAAAACTATATAATTTCCACAGTAACATCCCTAAAAACATCTAATAATCCACTCCCTCTATCTCATTAAAAATTCCAGAATAGATGAATATAAATGTGCACTGGGGGCTTCAAGTTTCTGCATCACACTTGTAGAAGTTGCATACTGGACCAGTTCCAAACTATATGTAATATTAATTAATTTTTGGACTTTAATTGATTTAAGTGACATTGACAGCGACAGGAAAGGGGTGGGAGATAGAGAGAGACAGAGAGAGAGAGAGAGACAGACATCATTCAACATCACACTGTAGGAACAAGAAAAACAGATTTTTGACTGGAGAGGGACTTTGCTCTGCTGCTCTGCTTTGTTTCTACATTTGAGCCATTCCTACAAACAAACACATAGATGTACATAGATTCTGCTTCTTTACTCCTAAAATGCTCAGCTTTTTACACAAATTAGTTGATAAAGGGGCTTGAATATTAAAGTAGCTGGAACGAGTACAGGAGACCATCTGACTTCCTGTTCTATTCAAAAACAATGTCAAAGCAAGCACAATATCAACTTCTTTGTTATCTCAAAGAATTGCCAGAACTCTAGGGTACTGTTTAATGTAAGAAGCTGTTGTCATGCCCTCCTCCAGTCACAACAACAAAGCCCCCCCGAAGAACACGTAGGAGTCGTTTTGCTGAAAAGGTGCCAAACATCGGGCTCAAAGCTTTTCCCTGCCAATCAAGACTTCCCCTCAAGACCAACCTGTTTTGGCTGTGGCTTTAAAAGAAACCACATCAGTTCTTTTTCCTGTCTTGTGTATGTCGCTTCAACTAAATTCCTGAAGGAGGTCCTTGCTACAGTCGCTACAGATATTCTATTAGTAATTAACAGCTTCACTTTTGGTTCATTCCCCTCTTGTTTTAAATATGCAACAGTTCAAGCCCCCCTAGAGGACACCTAATTATAATTGTCTTGCTTGAGGCCATTATAGATAGACTACAGTTTCGAACTGCCTTTTTTCATCCAGCCGTTTAGAGAAAAAGGTTTCCTCACAGATGATATAATTTATGAATATCTCAGAGAAACTGCAGTCAGGTTGTGAATAACTTCAGAGTTCATGAACTGCGTCAGTTAAAATGACTAATCATTACCACCTCACTAATAAATCCACCGTTTTACGACATTTTAATACTATTTTATACTGTCTGGCCTCCACAGAACAATGTTATTATAATGTTGTTTAATGTGATTCAGCCACACTTTGACTAGGTGGTTAGTCAGATATAGCTCCCAGTTGGTGCACCATCACATCTGATTAACTTATCTGATATATGCCGCGTTATCAGGATTCACTTAAGCCCAATGCAGCTTTCATTGCATACTGCTTACTTCCAATTAGTCTCAACAAGACGTCACTTTTGACCATGACACACACAATACTTTGCCAGATTGTTATAACTTGATTTGTCAGCTACTTTATATCAAGACATCAAGTACTGAGTGTCTAAAAAACTTCTGCAGTAAAATAAAAAAGTCTATTTGGCACACTCAGTTCCATTAACCTTGTCAAGTGGTAGTTGGTCAGCCAAAATTGAGTTTGCCAGCAGAAATCAGAGAGTGATGTTTGCATAAGATTTCATTTTCCATCAGCAGTGCTGTAAAAGCCGAGGGCCCAGCTAGAGAGGGTGCACATAAATTCAAGTTATGGGGGGCCAGCATTCCTAATGCTAAACTAAACAATATTACTTTGCTCGTATTTTACCCTGCTCTATTGTGCCTGTTGCTTTCAAGGGACGGCTCGTGGTCCCTGAATACATCCCAGAGCCTTTTAACCTCATAGAGTTAGAGCTTAGCCTGATATCTGAGTGTGATTGAATCTTTGTTATCAGCGTCCCTTCTGCATTGGAGCCGTTTGAGGAGCTTGGGCCCGCCAACCTTTACCTCATTTGTTTCCCTCGCCTCTAATCTTATTTTCTTCTCACACAGATTACTGAAATATCTCTACATCTATTGGATGGATTGCCATGACCTTTTGTACAGACATTCATGGTGGTTCAACATCAAGCAGCGATTCATAAATGTTTGTCCTCCATCATACTGCCCCTTCCTCAACCCAATAGAAGAGTATTTCTCTCCAGGGGACATCTACTACAGGCAATGGACTTGGCATGTGGTGACATAGCTACTGTATTACTTACAGTATACATTCTAAGTTGTTAATATACATTTTATATATATTTATAAACATATAAAAATATATGTATTACCTTTTTTTCTGTAGCTACATGCCCTGAATGCTGTGATCATTAAGGCAGTGTGTAAAGACTGCTCAGTAGTGTTTATATACTGACTGGCTGTGTACTTTAGGTGCAAACTGATTTTCCCATTAAGTCTCAGCTTCACTTTCTGTTTAGTGCTAATTAGCAAACGCTAGCTAGCACATTACGCCAAGATGGTGGACATGGTGAACAGTACACCAGCATCATTTAGCTGTTAGGATAATCAGTTCTAAAGCATATGAACATTTGTGTACATTTAAAACTGTAAAATATGTTATATTTATTACATTTATTATCCATTGTTTCGTCTGCACGAGTAGACAAAGGTTCAAAAGAAAACAGGTCTGTCATTTGATGCATTTCTGTTAAATGCGGATCAACTGCCTCTCTGCGTTCTGAATTCAAAACGACATGTAAATGTAGGGAAAATGGCACATCATTATCAACTCAACAAATAACACTGTCAAAACAATTTGCATTTTTAGAAGCAATACTCAACGCACATAAACCAAATTGCTTGACTTTAAGGGCACAACAAGTGTATGTTTGCAGTACAGATGGATAATCCTAACGGCAAATAGTTGCTATGGGAGAAAAAAAAAATCAGTGCAAATCCATTTTACACACAGCGGGGTAAATGCATTAAATGGTGACACTCGATGTCAGCTACACACACACACACACATCTGCTTTGTCAGGAGGGATGAGATTTAATTTACAGTGCTTTTGTCTTTTTCTTTAATGAAAACACCGTGTTTCATGATTACTCACAACCTTGTGGGTGTGCACCATTCACATTCAGCACGCAGGTTCAGTAATTGAATTCTTTAAAGCGGCAATGCACAAGTTCAAAAGGCCAACCCCAGGGCGCTGTATAACACAGGCAGTAAAGAAACTAATAACTCGTGTTTTAATAAATATAACTTTTAATTAAATTGTCCTGGTGGGCAACTCAGCCAATTTTAACACCATAAATTAATACAGACCCTCAATTAACAGAAGGCATAGAACACATGAATAATTCATCCTGCAGAGAATAATTTAAGTCTTCTAAAAACATTAACCTCACATTATGCTTACAGTTGATCAAGGCAATATATCAAAACTTTAATTCTAATGGCTCATAACAGCAGTAACAATACATCTTTGAAATTAAATTATGACTTGTACTGATCAAGACACAAAAGGAAGGTTTGTTTTTTTCGTTTTCAGCAAAGCAAAATAAATATCCAGGCTAATGGTTGTCTCAAAGAGCAGGCATGTGCATGCATTCATGTAACAATAAAACAAGACGACAAAATGTCTGTTTCCATTAACCGTCCAATACATAAAGCGCAGGTGAAGAACGCAGTCAGAAGCTCATGAGTACGTCTCGTTCCTGCATGCTGGTGTACATTGACTTTGCAAACACAAACGAGTGCAGTCCTGCCCTCAGCTTCTCAGCGAAGGCCATCACAATGTGCAGGTCTCCTTCCACTGTCAGATCCAGGTCCGTCTTTAAGTTTCGCAAGGATCGAAACGGCTTCTTACCTTTTTGCCTGTGAAGAGAGGAGGACAGACATTGTAGTGGAACTGTTAACAAGCTACAATAGTCGGGGTCAGAGGATTTGCATTAGCATCTAGTTGGGCTGCAGCTGTGCGCAGGAATGCCTTGCCACGATGAATAATGTATGCTGCTACAGGATGGCAACTAAGCATAAACAATCCTGTCAAGGCACCTGTAAAATAGTATGCCCTTAGACCCAAGGCTGTTAGCAACGCCATAAACAAGACTGCTTTTATGCTTCCATACGAGCACACAAATAATGTTTTTTGCTTGTGTAGTTAGTGTCGTCTCTGGAGTGAGATATATTCAGGCATTTACTATGTATGGGAACACGTAATATTCAAAATGACATCTCTGGAACCAGCATTTTAGACATAGCAGAAGAAATGTAAAAAAATCCATTGAATATATGTACAGTAATTTATCTTCATTAATACATTACTGCATGTTGCAATATTAAGAAGCAATTTAAAAAAATAACAACATTTCCTTTTTGTGATCTACAATTGAACATATCAATGTGCCCTCCCATAATACACGTGCTAAAATAAGAGTGATCACTTTTATTTTAGTTCTGTTTTGGTCTCCACTGACTTCACTATGTCCTTAAGCTAGTCTGTAACTGTGCTGGTGCTGAGCAGGTAGTGTACAGTGGGTTTATCTGAGTTTCTTCCACTGAAAACAGCTGCCTGGTGCAGCTGGATTTTATGCTGATAATAGCTGTGAGAGTGAATCAAAACAGTTAAGTTGCAGGTTATAAAACCAAAACAACAAGCTGAAAGATGCTAAAATGTTGAAGTTGAGTCAGGTGATAATTTTCTCTTGGTTTGTCACCATAAGCAACACCTTTCACATTATACATAGTGAACTAGTGATGAACCGATGTGAAAATTGTGGCCGATACCGATAACCGATATTAATATTGCTGTTATGGCCGATACCGATATTTACCGATGTCGATATCTCTGTATAGAAAACACATTTTTATGATAATCAAATAAAGAGCTATTTTCCAAAAGGATTTTTTTTTTTTTTTACTTTTGTGATTTATTTTCAGAAATGACTGATATTGGGCACCCAATATGACTCGTCATCAGATTTCAGAAAGAAAACATAAAGTAGTTATATAAAAAGATATTTTTTTATAAAGGGGAATACAAGTGTGTTCCTGTCGTGCGAATGTTTTTGGAGAGGAGGGGGGTGGAGCAGGACCAGCCGTAGCGAGCGCGCAGACACAGAGGGGCCATGAGGGAAACAGAAGCGCTACTGTAGAAGGCGTATTGCGCAAACTGCGGAAAGTTGTGGGTGTAAGCGCCCTCTCATCCCCCCTGTACGCGGTGCAGCGGGGTGGATCAATTTGGTTGTAATTGAACGATTTGACACAAAACTCACCGCTCACGATCACCCGGGCCGTCACAATCATGCAGTCACAATTCGAATTGACATGTACAGCAAGCGAGGATCCTCTTCAGACAATTTGAAGAATGATCAGACAGACGACATCGCTGGCGCCCTCACCAAAGGCAAAAGCTCAAGGACTTTTTTTTTTGCCGCCGTCCAAACAGTGCCTGGCTTCGGCACGATTATGGGTGCCTGTGTAGAATTTATGCGCTTGGTGCAAAAACACAACATCCCGCCCCCACGACTTTCATCATCTAGCTACGCACACACGTCAAATACACAGGAATTATCGGCCTGTTCACATCAGCCCTATTTTGACATCGGAACGATACCGATGTGTAAAAAAAATGACCATATCGGCCGATATTATATCGGCGGCCGATATATCGTGCACCACTACAATTATTATTATGCTTGAAAATTATTCACCATGTCTGTACCAGAGAACATCCCTCTCTCTCTCTCTCTCTGTGTGTTTCACTGCAGAGCATGGGTGATTGTCACTA